AGATAGACAGATAGCCAGAGAGAGATAGAGTAATAGATAGACAGAGAGAGACAGACAGAGAAATAGACAGAGAGATAGACAGAGAGAGATAGACAGAGAGATAGACAGAGAGATAGACAGAGAGATAGACAGAGAGAGATAGACAGAGAGAGATAGACAGAGTGATAGACAGAGAGACATAGAGAGTGATAGACAGAGAGATAGACAGAGAGACAGATAGAGAGAGATAGACAGAGAGAGATAGACAGAGAGATAGACAGAGAGATAGACAGAGAGAGATAGACAGAGAGAGATAGACAGAGAGCTAGACAGAGAGATAGACAGAGAGAGATAGACAGAGAGAGATAGACAGAGTGATAGACAGAGAGACATAGAGAGTGATAGACAGAGAGATAGACAGAGAGACAGATAGAGAGAGATAGACAGAGAGAGATAGACAGAGAGAGATAGACAGAGAGAGATAGACAGAGAGAGATAGACAGACAGATAGACAGAGTGATAGACAGAGAGAGATAGACAGAGAGAGATAGACAGAGAGAGATAGACAGAGAGAGATAGACAGAGAGAGATAGACACAGAGAGATAGACAGACAGATAGACAGAGTGATAGACAGAGAGAGATAGACAGAGAGAGATAGACAGAGAGAGATAGACAGAGAGAGATAGACAGAGAGAGATAGAGTAATAGATAGACAGAGAGATAGACACAGAGAGAGATAGACAGAGAGAGATAGACAGACAGATAGACAGAGTGATAGACAGAGAGAGATAGACAGAGAGAGATAGACAGAGAGTGGCTTCACCTGGACACGTGCGGACGCCACAGTAGTTGAATCGCGTGTCTCTGCTCGTGGTGTAGCACCAGGGGCCCTTGGCATCCTGGTCGGGGTTCCGGCAAAAGTTCTCCTCCAGCCCCGCCTCGGGGTGGGTGGCCGGGGAGAAGCTGGAGGGGTGGAGGGGGGGGAGGTGGAGGAGGGGGGTGGAGGAGGAGGGGGTGGAGGGGGTGGAGGGGGTGGAGGAGGTGGGAGAACATTTGGACCCCACCCCCCGATATTAGCCCCCCCCCATCCTTTGTAGCCCCCCCCCCCCCCAGCAACCACCACCACTCCCACCACCACCACTCCCACCATCACCACTCCCACCACCACCACCACCACTCCTACCACCACTCCCACCACCACTCCCACCACCACTCCCACCACCACCACCACCACTCCCACCACCACTCCCACCACTCCCACCACCACCACCACCACTCCCACCACCACCACCACTCCCACCACCACCACCACTCCCACCACCACCACCACCACTCCCACCACCACCACCACTCCCACCACCACCACCACTCCCACCACCACCACCACCACCACCACTCCCACCACCACCACCACTCCCACCACCACCACCACTCCCACCACCACTCCCACCACCACCACCACCTTGGCCACCACCACCACCACCACCACTCCCACCACCACCACTCCCACCACCACCACTCCCACCACCACCACCACCACCACTCCCACAACCACCACCACCACCACTCTCACCACCACTCCCACCACCACCACCACCACCATTCCCACCACCACCACCACTCCCACCACCACCACTCCCACCACCACCACCACCACTCCCACAACCACCACTCCCACCACCACCACCACCACTCCCACCACCACCACCACCACTCCCACCACCACCACTCCCACCACCACCACCACCACTCCCACAACCACCACCACCACCACCACCACTCTCACCACCACTCCCACCACCACCACCACCACTCCCACCACCACCACCACTCCCACCCCCACCACCACCACCACCACTCCCACCACCACCACTCCTACCACCACCACCACCACTCCCACCATCACCACCACCCACTTGGGTTTGTGAGGGTAGTTGGAGCTCCACTTCTGACAGTCGATCCCAGACGCGGTGATCGCGACGGTGCCTCGGTAGTCACTGCCGATCCCCTCCACGCAGTCCTCCAGGAAGTCTGCACGGCAACGAGCGGGGTTCTCGCACTGAGACTCACGCTGAGACTCACGCTGAGACTCACGCTGAGACTCACACTGAGACTCACGCTGAGACTCACACTGAGACTCACACTGACCCCCTAGACTCACACTGAGACTCACCCTGAGACTCACACTGAGACTCACACTGAGCCCCTAGACTCACACTGAGACTCACGCTGAGACTCACACTGAGACTCACACTGAGACTCACACTGAGCCCCTAGACTCACGCTGAGACTCACACTGAGCCCCTAGACTCACACTGAGACTCACACTGAGACTCACAATGAGACTCACACTGAGACTCACACTGAGACTCACACTGAGACTCACAATGAGACTCACACTGAGACTCACACTGAGACTCACGCTGAGACTCACACTGAGCCCCTAGACTCACACTGAGACTCACACTGAGACTCACACTGAGACTCACACTGAGACTCACACTGAGACTCATACTGAGACTCATACTGAGACTCACACTGAGCCCCTAGACTCACACTGAGACTCACGCTGAGACTCACACTGAGACTCACGCTGAGACTCACGCTGAGACTCACACTGAGACTCACACTGAGACTCCAGACTCACACTGAGACTCACACTGAGACTCCAGACTCACACTGAGACTCACACTGAGACTCACACTGAGACTCACAATGAGACTTACACTGAGACTCACACTGAGACTCACACTGAGACTCATACTGAGCCCCTAGACTCACACTGAGACTCACGCTGAGACTCACACTGAGCCCCTAGACTCACACTGAGACTCACGCTGAGACTCACACTGAGCCCCTAGACTCACACTGAGACTCACACTGAGACTCACACTGAGCCCCTAGACTCACGCTGAGACTCACACTGAGACTCACACTGAGACTGATACTGAGCCCCTAGACTCACACTGAGACTCACACTGAGACTCACGCTGAGACTCACGCTGAGACTCACGCTGAGACTCACACTGAGACTCACGCTGAGACTCACACTGAGACTCAAGACACTGAGACTCAAGACTCAAGACACTGAGACTCAAGACACTGAGACTCAAGACTCAAGACACTGAGACTCACACTGAGCCCCTAGACTCACACTGAGACTCACACTGAGCCCCTAGACTCACACTGAGACTCACACTGAGCCCCTAGACTCACACTGAGACTCACACTGAGACTCACACTGAGACTCACACTGAGCGACTCATACTGAGACTCACACTGAGACTCACACTGAGACTCACGCTGAGACTCACACTGAGCCCCTAGACTCACACTGAGACTCACACTGAGACTCACGCTGAGCCCCTAGACTCACACTGAGACTCACACTGAGACTCACGCTGAGCCCCTAGACTCACACTGAGACTCACACTGAGACTCACACTGAGACTCACGCTGAGACTCACACTGAGACTCACGCTGAGACTCACACTGAGACTCGCACTGAGACTCACACTGAGACTCACCCTGACACACTGAGACTCACACTGAGCCCCTAGACTCACACTGAGACTCATACTGAGACTCATACTGAGCCCCTAGACTCACACTGAGACTCACACTGAGACTCATACTGAGCCCCTAGACTCACACTGAGACTCACACTGAGACTCACACTGAGCCCCTAGACTCACACTGAGACTCACACTGAGACTCACACTGAGACTCACACTGAGCCCCTAGACTCACACTGAGACTCACGCTGAGACTCACACTGAGCCCCTAGACTCACACTGAGACTCACACTGAGACTCACGCTGAGACTCACACTGAGACTCACACTGAGACTCACACTGAGACTCACACTGAGCCCCTAGACTCACACTGAGACTCACGCTGAGACTCACGCTGAGACTCGCACTGAGCCCCTAGACTCACACTGAGACTCACACTGAGACTCACACTGAGCCCCTAGACTCACACTGAGACTCACAATGAGACTCACACTGAGACTCACACTGAGACTCACGCTGAGACTCACACTGAGACTCACACTGAGACTCACGCTGAGACTCACACTGAGACTCACACTGAGACTCACACTGAGACTCCAGACTAACACTGAGACTCACGCTGAGACTCACACTGAGACTCACACTGAGAGTCACAATGAGACTCACACTGAGCCCCTAGACTCACACTGAGACTCACACTGAGCCCCTAGAATCAGAATGAGACTCACACTGAGACTCACACTGAGACTCACACTGAGACTCACACTGAGACTCACACTGAGCCCCTAGAATCAGAATGAGACTCACACTGAGACTCACACTGAGCCCCTAGAATCAGAATGAGACTCACACTGAGACTCGCACTGTGACTCACACTGAGACTCACACTGAGACTCACACTGAGATTCACACTGAGACTCCAGACTCACACTGAGACTCACACTGAGACTCACACTGAGACTCACGCTGAGACTCACACTGAGCCCCTAGACTCGCACTGAGACTCACACTGAGACTCACACTGAGACTGATACTGAGCCCCTTGACTCACACTGATACTCACACTGAGACTCACACTGAGACTGATACTGAGCCCCTTGACTCACACTGAGACTCACACTGAGACTCACACTGAGACTCCAGACTCACACTGAGACTCACACTGAGACTCACGCTGAGACTCCAGACTCACACTGAGACTCACACTGAGCCCCTAGACTCACGCTGAGACTCACACTGAGACTCACCCTGAGACTCACGCTGAGACTCACACTGAGCCCCTAGACTCACACTGAGACTCACACTGAGACTCACACTGAGACTCACACTGAGACTCACGCTGAGACTCACGCTGAGACTCACACTGAGACTCACCCTGAGACTCACGCTGAGACTCACACTGAGCCCCTAGACTCACACTGAGACTCACACTGAGACTCACACTGAGACTCACACTGAGACTCACGCTGAGACTCACACTGAGCCCCTAGACTCACACTGAGACTCACACTGAGACTCACACTGAGACTCACGCTGAGACTCACACTGAGACTCACACTGAGCCCCTAGAATCAGAATGAGACTCACACTGAGACTCACACTGAGACTCACACTGAGACTCACACTGAGCCCCTAGACTCACACTGAAACTCACGCTGAGACTCACACTGAGACTCACGCTGAGACTCACGCTGAGACTCACACTGAGACTCACGCTGAGACTCACACTAAGACTCAAACTGAGACTCACACTGAGACTCACACTGAGACTCACCCTGAGACTCACGCTGAGACTCACACTGAGACTCACACTGAGCCCCTAGACTCACACTGAGACTCACACTGAGCCCCTAGACTCACACTGAGACTCACACTGAGACTCACACAGAGACTCACACTGAGACTCACACTGAGCCCCTAGACTCACACTGAGACTCACACTGAGACTCACACTGAGACTCCAGACTCACACTGAGACTCACACTGAGACTCCAGACTCACACTGAGACTCACACTGAGACTCACACTGAGACTCACACTGAGCCCCTAGACTCACACTGAGACTCACACTGAGACTCACACTGAGACTCACGCTGAGACTCACACTGAGACTCACGCTGAGACTCACACTGAGACTCCAGACTAACACTGAGACTCACACTCAGACTCACACTGAGACTCACACTGAGACTCACGCTGAGACTCACGCTGAGACTCCAAACTCACGCTGAGACTCACACTGAGACTCCAGACTCACACTGAGACTCACACTGAGACTCACACTGAGACTCACACTGAGCCCCTAGACTCACACTGAGCCCCTAGACTCACACTGAGACTCACACTGAGACTCACACTGAGACTCACCCTGACACACTGAGACTCACACTGAGCCCCTAGACTCACACTGAGACTCACACTGAGACTCACACTGAGCCCCTAGACTCACACTGAGACTCACACTGAGACTCCAGACTCACACTGAGACTCACACTGAGACTCACACTGAGACTCACACTGAGCCCCTAGACTCACACTGAGACTCACACTGAGACTCACACTGAGCCCCTAGACTCACACTGAGACTCACACTGAGACTCACACTGAGCCCCTAGACTCACACTGAGACTCACACTGAGACTCACACTGAGACTCCAGACTCACACTGAGACTCACACTGAGACTCCAGACTCACACTGAGACTCACAATGAGACTCACACTGAGACTCACACTGAGCCCCTAGACTCACACTGAGACTCACACTGAGACTCACCCTGACACACTGAGACTCACACTGAGCCCCTAGACTCACACTGAGACTCATACTGAGACTCATACTGAGCCCCTAGACTCACACTGAGACTCACACTGAGACTCATACTGAGCCCCTAGACTCACACTGAGACTCACACTGAGACTCACACTGAGCCCCTAGACTCACACTGAGACTCACACTGAGACTCACACTGAGACTCACACTGAGCCCCTAGACTCACACTGAGACTCACGCTGAGACTCACACTGAGCCCCTAGACTCACACTGAGACTCACACTGAGACTCACACTGAGACTCACACTGAGCCCCTAGACTCACACTGAGACTCACGCTGAGACTCACGCTGAGACTCACACTGAGCCCCTAGACTCACACTGAGACTCACACTGAGACTCACACTGAGCCCCTAGACTCACACTGAGACTCACAATGAGACTCACACTGAGACTCACACTGAGACTCACGCTGAGACTCACACTGAGACTCACACTGAGACTCACGCTGAGACTCACACTGAGACTCACACTGAGACTCACACTGAGACTCCAGACTAACACTGAGACTCACGCTGAGACTCACACTGAGACTCACACTGAGACTCACAATGAGACTCAAAATGAGCCCCTAGACTCACACTGAGACTCACACTGAGCCCCTAGAATCAGAATGAGACTCACACTGAGACTCACACTGAGACTCACACTGAGACTCACACTGAGCCCCTAGAATCAGAATGAGA